ACATTTTGAAGAAATACATCAATGTTGTCTACTAAAGACTTCGGACAAATAAGAGAGAGACTTATTTATACTAAGCCATTATACTCTGGGCATTTGAATAATGATTTATCAAACATCAGCTTTACTAGACTGCATATTGGTTAAAAATGACTGATCCCAAACTGATGCTATATCAACAGTTATTTTAAGAAAATTAATCACAGTTCAGTTCAGTTGCTCAGTTGTGTCCAATTCTTTGTGACCCCATGGACTGCAGCACGCCAGGCTTGCTTGTCCATCACCAACTCCCGGAGTTTACTCAAACTCATGTCCATCGAGTCATTAGTTTCTTTTTTTTTTAAAACAGCATATTAAAAAAAATTAATTACAAGGAAGGCTAACAAGCTTCTTTAAGGTGTTTTTTATATGCTAAGGCCATTAGATACTGAGAAAGCTTAAGAAATACTATATATATAGAGAGAGAATCCCGTGGACAGGGGAGCCTGGTGGGCTGCTGTCCATGGGGTCACACAGAGTTGGACACGACTGAAGCAACTTAGCACAGCATAGCATACTTTAGAAATAATATATTTTAAATGCAGATAAACAGAAGGTAAGAGACAAAAGAGCACAAATTGGAGTACGTAAACAGAGTGACACTTCCTACCTACAATTCAGGAAATGTCTGTTCAGATAGTGGGAAAGTATCCACTCCAAAATGGCCTTATCAAAAAAAAATTCTTAATATACAAGGAAGAATATATTCTCCAGGCAAGAATAGCACAGAAGATAATGTATAAGAAATACATTTACATGAGAAAAAGATAGGCAAATACAAATTTCTAACAAATGAGACCCTGGATAACACTGTTGGATTCCCTACAACAGGAAGACAGGTTAAGAGTTGAGGACTGACTATACTTTCTAAACTTATATGAAAAACCGATAGTCTTAACTAAGATAATTAAATATGAGGTCTTAATTAAAACAGAACTTAGAACTGAAGATATTTAAAGTAGAATTAGGATTTTAGGGAATTCTCTGATTGCCTAGTGGTTGGAATCAGTGCTTTCACTGCCAGGGCTCTGGGTTCAATCCCTGGTTGAGGAACTAAGATCCCACAAGTCGAGTGGTGCAGCCAAAAACAAAAAAAATTTAGGATTTTTTTTTTTTTTTTTACTAAGAGTGGTTACTAAGGAAAGTGATGATTATCAATCTATAGAACAGGTTGTAAATAAAGCCCAGGACTTTAAACTACCAGTAATTTCAAAGACAACTATATCACTTGCTTTAATTTCTTCTTCCTGTGGTTGTTTCTGGTACATTGTATTTATTGTCTAAAAAGAGTTTGTCTTAGAGGAGCAATGAATGTCATTTCAAAGTTTTATAACATTTTTAAAGTAGTTTTTTTTCTTTACTGAATTAGCACATCCCTCACTGAAACACAAAATCTTACACAATGTTTTTTACACAGTGTTTTTTGAGCTTTCTCAGGTTGCTCTGAGCCAGTAACTTGGACACTTCCTCTGGGCAAACAACTTTCTGGCCACTGAGGTCATCATTATTTCACTCAGTGATCATTCTCACATTGTCTCAGACACAGGAATCCCTTTTACTTTAAAAGAAGGAATGCTTCCCAGGACCTGACATTACCTTTCTAGGGTCAAGAAAAGTCCACATGAATAATAAAATACCGTAATTTCAGATTCTGGAAACATAAAGCAGCTTACATGCATGAATCTGGGCTCCAGAGGCCCGAGGGCTGACAGTCCCAATATTAAGTGCTGCGTGACGAGCACCAGGCTCCTTGATAAGGACAGAAGTCATTTCACGAATATCTGTGATGCCAAGAAGAGAGTAAGAGTGCCACGGAAAGAACAGCAGATGCTATGCAAGTTCACAACAGGGAGAGAAAAACCACAGCTGAGCTGCCTTTGATGTAACGAATGCCAAAGCTAGATATGTTGGAAATAAATAACTGGGCCAGAGAAATCACTGATGGGATATACTTCAACTTAGAAAACCTTTAGAGAGAGTGGATACTACAGATAACTTGCATCATTCTAGTTTCTAACTGAAAAAGAAATTGAGATATTCCTGACAGTATCCGAACCATGTTAAAAAAAAAAAAACTAGGAATATAAATTACTGGAAAAAATAAGTAATGTGGGAAATATTTGCTAATGCTGTTTTGCTTATTACATAAATAGTTCCACATGGCTCAGCTTTCTTAGCTACATTTATTACTAGCTCAGCTGGTAAAGAGTCTACCTGCAATGCAGGAGACCCTGGTTCGATTCCTGGATGGAGAAGTTCCCCTGGAGAAGGAAGAGGCCACTCACTCCAGTATTCTTGGACCTCTCTGGTGGCTCAGACTGTAAAGAATCTGCCTGCAACGTGGAAGACTTGGGTTCGATCCCTGGGTTGGGAAGATCCCCTGGAGGAGGGTATGGCAACCCACTCCAGTAATTTTGTCTGGAGAATCCCCATGGACAGAGGAGCCTGGGGGGGCTACAGTCCATGGGGTTGCAGAGAGTCGGACACGACTGAGTGACTCAGCACAGCGCAGCTATTCAGTATTACTGTTAGCGCTACTCTTTTTCTTTTGTAAGGTGTTAGTCTTTGGAGCCTTCCTACCAATACTTATGGAGCCCTTGTTATATGCCGGGCACTACATTTGGCACCAGGAAGAGAGTGATGAGTGAAAAACACCTAGTTGCTACTTTCATGGAACAACCACGCAAATAACTATAGAATCACAACCGTGCCAAATAACAAGAAGGAAAAGCATGAGGTACCTTCTAGCCTGAGAGTGCCAAGGGAGTCTTTCCTGAAGAAATGCCATTTATGGTGAGGTCTGAAGGATGAAGGGAGTGGGGGGTGGTTCGTAAGGGAATGTTTCAGAAAGAGGGAACACCAAATGCCAAGGGTGCAAGGTGGGAGGAACACAGCGCAGAGGAGGAGAGAGGGAAACCATGAAGCTTGAGAGACTGGGAGGCGCCAGCCCCGAAAGGCATGCTAAAAATTATGAACTGCATCCTAAAAGCAAAGTGCTTCAAGCAAGGAAGTGCCGTGTGAGGTTTATGTTTAATCTATGGCTTTGGCTGACACTGAGAGCCAACAGTGACGGAGCCGGGACAAGAGGCTATGAGACCAGCTGGGAGGTTTACATGATTGTAGCTCAGGTGAGAGGACGGTGCCCTGCTTGGAGGGCTGGCCGGAGAACGAGATGGTGGAGAGAGAGCACGCACATAGCTGGATGACTCAAGGCATGTTTTAGAACAACTCTGAGAACTTGGTGACTGGGGAGACATCTGGTTTGGGGGGCTGAGAGACAAGGAAGAGTCAAAGAGCATTCCCAGCCTTCCTAGTTAGGGGGGTGGAGGTGCCATTTACTGAGAGGGGCAGATGGAGGAAGAGCAGATGCAAAGGCCTAATGATGAGTTGAGTCTGAGATGTCTGTGAGTCATCCAAGCGGAGATGTCAAGCAGGATGTTGGATAATCAGGTCTAGACTCAGAGGGGAGGTCTAGAGACACAAATTTGAGGATCCCTGGTAGGTATGTAGCATTTGAAGCCATGGAGGATAAGTTTGGCTGGCAGGGAGGAGGAAAGGGAGAGAAGACTTAGCAACCAAGGATCAAACTCTGAAGCTCATCAATTTGGCCCTCTTGTGAGAGCCCTAAATGGCATGCATAGATACTTGCATTTCACACCAGGTACTATACCTCATTATCATATTGCATTTTAATCTTGTATTCTAATAAGAATGCATAGGCTTCCCTGGTGGCTCAGCTGGTAAAGAATCACCTGCAATGTGGGGGACTTGGGTTTGAACCCTGGGTTGGGAAGATCTCCTGGAGAAGGGAATGGCTATCCACTCTAGTATTCTGGCCTTGAGAATTTGATGGACTGTATAATCCATGGGGTCGCAAAGAGTAGGACATGATTGAGCGACGTTCACTTTAAGTTTCTAATAAGAATGCATAGACACTTAGTTTAAAATGACTGCATGTAACCCAAACTGGCATTGCTCAGGAGAGATGTGAAAGACAGTAGGGCCCTGACCACTAAAAAGGAGCAGGCAACCTGGGGGTACACAATCTGTTTTCTGCTGAAAAAGTTACACAAACTGTCTTCTGGAGAACGAGGGCTGTTTTCTTTCCAGGTGGCTCAGTGGTGAAGAATTCGCCTGCCCATGAAGGAGACACAAAAGGCGCGGGTTTGATCCCTGGATTGGTAAGATTCCCCTAGAGAAGGAAATGGCAACCCATGCCAGTATTCTTGCCTGGAAAATCCCACGAGCAGAGGAGCCTGCCCAAAGGGTCACAAAGAGTTGAATGAGCACAGCACAGCACATGAGATGGGAACAGGAAACATTTATCTGTTTGTTTTTGTTCCCACAATACCTGTATACAGGAATACAGACCGAGCTTGTTAATGCTGTGAAATTCCTAAAACTTAGAGCACATCCAGAATTCTGAATTAGTGGGGAAAAAGGCAAGAAGTAATACGACTGCTTCTTTTTCATGAACGGTGTTCAAAGACCGAGAAAATGTTAGTACATATTTTCAGTCCTCTCCACGGCCTCGGACAGTCAGAGCCTGCTAGGCACTGGGGACTGATGGGACCACTGCATGGACCCTCTTCCTGCTGTCGGGGCGGTGGCCTGTCTAGCTTGCTTGCTGCCTCCCCCAGTGTAATCACCAGCTCTGCAGAATTACACCTTCCTCCAACCTTCCCCTGGGGCCTTACTCCCTGCTGTGTAACACCCAATGAGCATCACGGTATCTTAACTGCTAGCCCACACCTGATTTTCATGACTATTAAAGATACAAGGGGTCTCCTGGTGAAGGGTTATCTATAGCAGTTTTTAAAACTTCATAGTACATGTTAAATCCAAGTTAAAATCTTTGAGGATAGGAAAAAAAACTCCAGATGTATCTGAGCCACTTACTCATAGTTGAGGCTGGAACTGTACTAATAAAATAAACAGTGCTCCTTGTTACTGTGTGGACTTACCTCTTTGGTAATACAAGGAAGCAACACCGCCAAATTACAGAACTTCACAGCATTGTCGATTTGATTAAGATCGGCATAACACTAGAAATGAAAAAAAAAAATATGAAGGGCAACACATTTTTGTGCAATGGATTCAAAGTGATCTTAAAACAGTGGTCTTCATTACCTTGGCCATGAACATGTAATTGGACTTAGAAAATGCAGGCTGTAGTTCTTCAACCTGATTTTAAGAGAAAACAGAAAAGAGACTATCAGGGAAATATTAGAACAAGTTAAGGAGATATATTTCAATAAATCAGACATTAACCAAGTTACGCTAAGAATTTAGGTTGGTTGTGTCACATCTGAATCATTTTATCAGCTCAAGTATGTTTTGGGTGGAAATACACCTTTTGAGCTTACCCATTGAAATGGGATTATTACTGTGGTCATAAAGCTTACAAAGCAATGAGATACTTTAGGATTTGGGAATCACCTTGTATAACCATCTTCCTCACTTCCCCTTCTCTATCCTTTCTTTTTTTTCTTCCAGGGGCCAAACAACTGGTGGTACAGTCTCCTCAGGACAAGTCCCTACAATCTCCTTAGGAAGCAGGAGTGCAGTGTGACTGGTATTTCATGGCAAGCATCTTCCACTACATTAATATTTGATTTCTGATAATTTCAACACATTCTGTATGAGCTGAATAATAACAGGCCCATGACATCAAGTTCTTTTAAATAAAAGGCAGATGCTTAAAATAACTAGTTGAAGTGGCAAACCACCTTGCAGATTTTAGTTACTGGGTATTATAAAGTCCTTTACGCCTCATCTGCTAGTGTCTCATGTACCAGTTCCTTTTCTTCATCTCTGGTAAATAAGAATTTCGCCAGATATGTTGTGTTGCTACTAGAGAACTCTTCTTAGAACCTAAGTCTGTCTTTGCATTGGAGCCAAATTTTGCTCTTATGAAAGTCTATGCCGGAGGCTCCCAGGCTGGGACCTTGACCCCCAACACAGAAGAAGGCAGAACCCAAAAGGAGGATGCTTTAAAAAAAATTTACAAATACATGCTTGTTTTACAACTTATAAATACTTCAGACATATTCAAAATTAAAAAGTGAAAGCTTCTCTGTTTTAATTTTATTCTCAATTACGATCTATTTCCCCAGGGGTAACCACTATCAACAGTTTGACAAATGCATCCTACAGACCTTTAAGTAGAGGAACTCCCTGCCTCCCACCTCCCACCTCCCCACTACTCAAGATGACTGATTTCTGAAAAAAATTTAAATAGGACCGTTTCCTACTTATTGGTTCCAAACTTTTTTTTTCCCTCAATGTATCACAGATACATTTTTGTGTTCACATACACAGATTTACTTCATCATTTCTACGAGCTATATTTCATACTGCATATATACTATAATTAAATTAAGCATCACTGTTAGACACTTAGACTTATTTTTCACTATTACTAACAATGATCAACGTACATACTTGCTCCTATATGCCCATGTGCATGTGATTATGTGTGCAGGAGAGATTCCCAGAAGTTGGATTTCTGAGTCAAAAGATACATACATTTTAAGGATGGATAGAGGTGAAAGCAAGAGCTAGGGTTCTGAGGAGTGTTCCAATACCTTATGAGAGCACATCCCTTGTAAAGGCCACTTATTCTCTGCAGAATCCAAGAGAAGGGTCCTGGGAGGAGGAGAAGGAGGACAAAATCTCTTGGGCTGGGAAGCCAGACTAGGTGTAACTCTTTAAGACTGAGCAGATGAACAGTGTGTGGATCTGGCCTAGAACCTGCTAGTGAAACACTGGAGTTGCCGACAGACTGAAGGAAGTTACTGTTCAGTCCTGGCCAAAGCCTTGAAAGCCCAACAGAGCCATCCATGGTGCCAATGGATTCTGGTCCTCCCGCTTCTTCTCTCTTGTCCAATTATTTCCATTTTGACTCTTTGAGTTAAAACAAAATTATGTAAAGCATTTATCCTTCAACTAAAAAATAAATTTTTTTAAAAGTTATGGTTTTTCCAGTAGTCACGCATGAATGTGAGAGTTGGACCATAAAGAAGGTTGAGCGCTGAAGAATTTATGTTTTTGAATTGTAGTGTTGGAGAAGACTCTTGAGAGTCTCTTGGAGAGTAAGGAGATCAAACCAGTCAATCCCAAAGGAAATCAACCCTGAATATTCATTGGAAGGACTGATGCTGAAGCTGAAGCTCCAATACTTTGGCCACCTGAAGGGAAGAGCTGACTCACTGAAAAGATCCTGGTGCTGGGAAAGACTGAAAGCAGGATAAGAGGGTGAAGGACAGGGAAGGCTGGTCTGCTGCAGCCACGGGGTCGCAAAGAGTTAGACATGACTTAGTGACTGAACAACAACAAAGGAACATAGGCAGGCTACTAACAATACTTACATCCTAAAATGGAGCAGATTCTGACCTTTGCCAAAGGCATTAGCTGCATAACAAGGAAAGTTGGGTCATTCAATAGAATGTTTTAATTAACGGGCAGTTTCTATGATGTTCTTCAAACTATGCCATAACATCTGGCAGAAAATACTGTACTTGCTTACTTCATCTTGGTCATCCAAGTTCCCCAAAGGCAGGAGCTGTGATGGTCATTTCTGTGTTCCCTTCATTTGGTATGAGGTATATGCTTAAAAAACATTGCTGAATAAATTAGCTTTGTTTTAAAACATCTCATTAACTCATGCAGCAGCTCTCTGTCATATCAAATCACAGAAAACAGCTCAGGAGCTGGTGAAACCACTAGGAAGATTCGGGGATCTTGTGACTGCAAACAGTGAGTGACATCAGGATGGCCAAAATTGCCACACCTGTCTTCTACTACACACACCCGTCCAGGAGTGCTCCAACATACCATGGGCTTCACATGAAGGACCATGAGAACTTTAAAAACAGGTCAAGCTCTAAAACCACGTTATACCACAATTCCAATCATAGGTACTTACCTAAGAAAATTTAAAAGATGTCTACATAAAAGTTTGCCTATGAATGATCATAAGCACTTATTCATAATATCCCCAAGCTGGGAACAACTCAAATGTCCATCAATAAGTAAATGCATAAGTAAATTGTTGTAAATCCATGTAATGGAATATTACGAGGCAATCACAAATACATTCAATAAATTGACTGCATCTCAAAACATGTAGAGCAAAGGAAGCCAGATATGCAAAGTACCAAAGCTATGATTCCATTTATATACAATTTTAAAACAGGCAAAGTGGTGGTAATTACATAAATATACAAATTTGTCAAATTTCATGGAACTGTACACATAGAATGGGTGTATCTAACTGTATATAAACTATATCTTAATATATTCAGATATCCTGAAATAATTAGCCTGGGTTGTAGCCTGGGTCATCATTTTTTAAAGCTCTCCAGACAACTCAAATATATCAGTTCTGTTCAGTTCGCATGGACAAGGTTATAAACCACTGACTGAGGGAATCAGGCCAGAATTTTGGATGAAGTGGGAAGCATGCTATATCTTAAAAGAATCCAAACATGGAATTTGCAGATGACTCTTGGTCTCAAATCACCTCCCTAGATGTTTTGGGGCTGTGGAGAACCAGATTTCACCAGTTATATGCAAAAATAACAGCAATATCAGCAATATGTATTTTTAGTCAGAGCACTTAGTGTGTGAGACCATGGGCCAAGAACACTACATGTATTATTTCGTGTAATTTTCACAAAAACAAAATTAGGTATTATTATGCCTACCTTACTGATAAAGAATTTAAGGTTAGGAGAAATAAACAAACAGGTCCATGTCATATTAACAGTAAAAGTCTCAGGTCTTAAACTGTCTGATTCTAAAACTAGAGCTCTCTCTCTACAGGAGCGCATTGCCTGGCTCTGGAGCTGTGCCCCTGTGAACCTCTTTGGAGGCATGCAGTGGGGCAGACTTCCTGTTGGGACTAGGGGGGTGCAGAAACATGGAGTGTGGGAGCCACGGTATGTGCTGTTTCTTTTTCCCCGCTTGTCCCCCCAGGTTTCTTAGTCCCCCACAGCCCTCAGCCATCCAGGCTCCTCGGTACCCTCGTGGGCTGCAGTAAACACGGGGTGAGGCACTCCTGATGCCTTCTCACCATCTGACAAACGCTGTGGAACGCATTTCAGACAATATCCAAGTCATAACTGAATGGTGAGGGCCTCAAGACGGGTTCACGAGGTGTTCACAATGAGGGCTTCCCTGGCGGCTCAGACAGTAAAGAATCTGCCTGCAATGCAAGATACTCAGGTTCAGTCCCTGGGTGGGAAAGATCCCCTGGAGAGGGAATGGCTACCCACCCCAGTATTCCTTCTTGGAGAATCCCATGGACAGAGGAGCCTGGCGGGCGACAGTCCATGGGATCTCAAACAGATGGACACAACTGAGTGACCAACTTTCTTTCCTTTTACAATTTAATGAAGTTAAAATTCTTTGAGCCTTTATTGAGCACTTATGAGGTCCTGGGCACTCTCTAAGCAATTTGCTTGGATTAACTTATTTAACCTTCATAACAACGCTATCACCTCCATGTTATTGATTAAACTGAGAGAGAAAGATATTAAGTAACTTGCCCAATGTCAGTCAGCCAGTAAAAAGCAGAACTGGGATTTAACCAGGTGGTCTGGTTTCAGAGTTTATACCTCTACATCACTGTGCTTCTTACTTACTTTTGATTTTATCTGTGTAATACTTCAGGCGCAGAAGCACCTGAAGAACTTTCGCTCCATGTCCTGAAAACCTGACCCTCTAATTGTAACTTTGATACCATTAAAAATGGGTTTAAAGCTCAAATGAAATTTTTGCTAGTGAACATGTGATTAGTCACTTAGTCGTGTCTGACTCTTTGTGACCCCATGGACTGTAGCCTTCCAGGCTCCGCAGTCCACGGGGACTCTCCAGGAAAGAATACTGGAGTGGGTAGCTGTTACCTTCTCCGGGAAATCTTCTTAACCCAGGGACTGAACCAAGGTCTCCCACATTGCAGGCAGATTCTTTACCAGTTGGGCCACCAGGGAAGCCCAAGGATACTGGAGTGGGTAGCCTATCCCTTCTCCAGGGAAACTTCCCAACCTAGGAATTGAGCCAGGGTCTCCTGCACTGCAGGCTGATTCTTTACCAGCTGGGCTACCAGGGAAGCCCCATGAACATAGCACTTTTTATAAATCATTTTAAATGCATGATGATCTATATCCTTATAAAATTTAACAAGGGAGATCTAATTCTTGATGTTAGAAAGAAGCTGAAGTGATAATACATTATCAGACTTCATTCATGTCTTTGACCTGCCATTGTGTGACACTGGAAAAGGATACATTCCTGATGTCTTGATTCCCTTTTTTATAAAACAAAAAAGATCATACTAAATAAAAAAGAAGAAACATACAGCCTTGTACTTTTATATCCATACTTTATCCCACTGGGTGCAGGCTTGATTTCAGAATACTTATTTTTTCAAAAACCACTAGCCATTGTTCAGAGAAGTGCAGTATATTTGCTATCTTAGAATATATGATTTTAAAACTCCTTCTTGGTTCTACAAAATCGAGCCCTAAAATATACCAAAAAATACTAGCCTTTAAAATATATTTGACAACACTGTTCAGAGCCTGATTTTCTCTATATTGTTACAAATCTGAAGTAGGCAGGAGGGAAAAGAAAAATCAGTAAGATTCCATAATTGGTTCCAGAGAAAAATGAAGAGATTAGCCCAACAGCAAGTTGGTTAAATGCATGGATATATTACACATATTCATGTGTACCCACACACATATTACTATTTAGAGTTTATCAGCAGAGCAATTGTACATTTTAGGATGGTAATGAAAATCCTGGTTTGGTCTGATGCCCCATGAATGTTCCATAGAACTGTCTACAATTCAAAGAGTAACTTTTAAAATAACTCATCTTCTTAGCAACTTTTAGTTCTTTAAGATTAAACTGGTTCTATGTTAGGATAATCAGGAGTATTTTGGACCAAGTCTAATAATCAAGAGGCCTTCCCAGGTGGGCCCAGTGGTAAACAATCCATCCGCCAATGCAGGAGATGCAGGAGACATGGGTTTGATCTCTGGGATGGGAAGATCCCCTGGAGGAGGAAATGGAAACCTACTCCAGTATTCTTGATGGGAAAATCCCATGGACAGAGGAGCCTGGCAGGCTACAGCCCATGGGGTGTCAAAGAGTCGGACACAACTGAGCAACTGAGCATGCATGCTTTCTAAAAATTAGGGCATGAATACTTTTGTACATAAACAGTCTGGAGAGCTACACTGGATTTGGCAGTAAGGGCTGCCACACCTAGGACTTAGCACATAAGTATCCTCTAAGAAGTAGTTTGAACATGCCAAAATGAGGACACAATCTGTAGACCTCCAATTAGAGGTCTACAGATGGAGAAGAGAAAGATTTCCTTGACAGCAATGGTAGGCGGGCCTGATGAAGACAGGAGCCAGACTGACATTGAAATAATGGATAGGCAAAACATACCTTGAGGAAATTTTGCAAAGCTTCTTGTACTGTTGAGGATGGTATATTTCCAAACAGAGTAGCAGCCATTTTTCTCTCAATCCAGCTCAGTTTTGAGACCTGCAAATATAAAGCAATATCACTCAGACAGTTGACTACCTTTTGAATGAATAACCTCTCCTCAGATGCATGTGTGTATGCACATATGTAGGGTATGCATACAATATCAGGCTGTCAGTTTCAGTTCAGTCATTCAGTCGTGTCTGACTCTTTGTGACCCCATGGACTGCAGCATGCCAGGCTTCCCTGTCCTTCACCACCTCCTGAAGCTTGCTGAAACTCATGTCCATAGAGTTGGTGATGCCATCCAAACATCTTATCCTTTGTTGTCCCCTTCTCCTGCCTTCAATCTTGCCCAGCATCAGGGTCTTTTCAAATGAGTCAGTTTTTTGCATCAGGTAGCCAAAGTATTAGTTTCAGCTTTTTTCAGCTTCAGCATCAGTCCTTCCAATGAATATTCAGGACTGATTTCCTTTAGGATTGACTGGTTGGATTTCCTTGAAGTCCAAGGGACCCTCAAGAGTCTTCTCCAACACCACAGTTCAAAAGCATCGGTTCTTCAGTGCTCAGTTTTCTTTATAGTCCAATTCTCACATCCATACATGACTACTGGAAAAATCATAGCTTTGACTAGACGAACCCATGTCGGCAAAGTACCGTCTCTGCTTTTTAATATGCTGCCTAGGTTGGCCATAGCCTTTCTTCCAAGGAATAAGCATCTTTTAATTTCATGGCTGAAGTCACCATCTGCAGTGATTTTGGAGCCTCCCCCAAAAAAGTCTCTTACTATTTGCATTATTTCCTCATCTATTTGCCAAGAAGTGATGGGACCAGATGCCATGATCTTAGATTTTTGAATGTTGAGTTTCAAGTCAACTTTTTCACTCTCCTCTTTGACTTTTATCAAGAAGCTCTTTAGTTCTTCTTCACTTTCTGCTATAAGGGTGGTGTCATCTGCATATCTGAGGATATTGATATTTCTCCCAGCAATCTTGATTCTAGCTTGTGCTTCATCCATTCTGGCATTTTGCATGATGTACTCTGCATGTAAGTTAAATAAGCAGGGTGACAGTATGCAGCCTTGACATACTCCTTTCCTGATTTGGAACCAGTCTGTTGCTCCATGTCCAGTTCTAACTGCTGCTTCCTAACCTACATACAGATTTCTCAGGAGGCATGTCGGGTGGTCTGGTATTCCCATCTCTTGAAGCATTTTCCACAGTTTGTTGTGATTCACACAGTCAAAGGCTTTGGCATAGTCAATAAACAGAAGCAGATGTTTTTCTGGAACTCTCTTGCTTTTTCGATGATCCAGCAGATGTTGGCAATTTGATCTCTGGTTCCTATGCCTTTTCTAAAACCAGCTTGAACATCTGGAAGTTCACGGTTCATGTACTGTTGAAGCCTGGCTTGGAGAATTTTGAGCATTACTTTGCTAGCATGTGAGATGAGTGCAATTGTGTGGTAGTTTGAACATTCTTTGGCATTGCCTTTCTTTGACTGGAATAAAAACTGAGTTCTGTGGCCACTGCTGAGTTTTCCAAATTTGCTGGCATATTGAGTGTAGCACTTTCACAGCATCATCCTTTAGGATGTGAAATAGCTCAGCTGGAATTCTATCACCTCCACTAGCCTTGTTTATAGTGATGCTTCCTAAGGCCCACTTGACTTCACATTCCAGGATGTCTGGCTCTAGGTGAGTGATCACACCATCATGATTATCTGGGTCGTGAAGATCTTTTTTGTACAGTTTTTCTGTGTATTCTTGCCACTTCTTAATATCTTTTGCTCTGTTAGGTCCATACCATTTCTGTCCTTTATTGAGCCCATCTTTGCATGAAATGTTCCCTTAGTATCTCTAATTTTCTTGAAGAGATCTCTAGTCTTTCCCCTTCTATTGTTTTCCTCTATTTCTTCACATTGATCATTGAGGAAGGCTTTCTTATCTCTCCTTGCTATTCTTTGGAACTTTGAATTCAAACAGGTATATATCTTTCCTTTTCTCCTGTGCCTTTCACTTCTCTTTTTTTCTCAGCTATTTGTAAGGCCTCCTCAGACTATTTGGCCTTTTTCCATTTCTTCTTCTTGGGGATGGTCTTGATCACTGCCTCCTGTACAATGTCACAAACCTCCGTCCATAGTTCTTCAGGCACTCTGTCTAACAGATCTAATCCCTTGAATCTATTTGTCACTTTCACTGTATAATCATAAGGGATTTGATTCAGATCATGCCTGAATGGTCTAGTGGTTTTCCCTACTTTCTTCAGTTTAAGTCTGAAATTGGCAAGAAGGAGTTCATGATCTGAGCCACAGTCAGCTCCCGGTCTTGTTTTGCTGATTGTATAGAGCTTCTCCATCTTTGGCTGCGAAGAATATAATCAATCTGATTTTGGTATTGACCATCTGGTGATGTCCATGTGTAGAGTCTTCTCTTGCGTTGTTGGAAGAAGGTGTTTGCTATGACCAGTGCATTCTCTTGGCTAAACTCTGTTGGCCTTTGCCCTGCTTCATTTTGTACTCCAAGGCCAAATTTGCCTGTTACTCCAGGTATCTCTTGACTCCCTACTTTTGCATTCCTGTCCCCTATAATGAAAGGACATCTTTTTTGGGTGTTCTAGAAGGTCTTATAGGTCTTCATAGAACCGTTCAACTTCAGCTTCTTCAGCATTACTAGCTAGGGCATAGACTTGGATTACTGTGATATTGAATGGTTTGCCTTGAAAATGAATAGAGATCATTCTGTTCTATTCTGATCATGAATCAAGGTAAACTGGAAGTGGTCAAGCACCAGATGGTAAGAGTGAACATCAACATTTTAGGAATCAGTGAACTAAAAATGGACTGGAATGGCAAATTTAATTCAGATAACCATTACATCTGCTACTGTGGGCAAGAACCCCTTAGAAGAAATGGAGTAGCCCTCATAGTCAACAAAAGAGTCCGAAATGCATACAATATAATATATATAGATATAGATCCATGCTATATACACGAGAGATATAGCCTTTATGGTATTAGCATCTTGCCTTCCTTTTTCATAATTCTAACCATGAGCTAAAAGCACTGGTCACCAAACCAATTTGAAATACTCTTAAGCAGCCTCGTGTCTAAAGGAAGGCAGAGGGGTGGGGGTGGGGAACAATGCTGATCCTGTTCGTTCACATGATTCTTGATTGTGAGCTGACAAATAGTATTTCTTTGTACAGAATACAGTAGCTGCAGGACTCTGCCTTTGCCGTGCTCCCAACCAGACTGGAACGCAGCAGGTCAGAAATGTAAACAGGCCAAGGTTCCTCAATCCAGAAGGAGTGTGCCGTGAGGGCCTGGTGTATGTATTTACAATTCAGGGGAATTTTTTAAAAAGCAACAACCACCAAAATTAAATCTCATACTGTCATTTGTTTTTTGCTTTCTTTTTAAATTTTTTCACTTTTAACAAATATGAATAGTAAATATATAATATAAAGGATTAAAGGGATTCAGGAATGAGTACTTAAAAGAGGAGCTATGCTCCCCACAACCCCATCAAGTGCCTTCCTTCGCAATGCCACCTTCAAGGGTTCTAGGTAGCCATTGTTTCGTTGTTGTTCAGTTGCCCAGTCGTGTCTGGCTCTTTGCAACCCTATGGACTGCAGCATGTCAGGCCTCTGAGGTAGTCATTCAATTCAGTTCAGTTCAGTCGCTCAGTCGTGTCCAACTCTTTGCAACCCCGTAGGCTGCAGCACGCCAGGCCTCCCTGTCCATCACCAACTCCCGGAGTTTACTCAAACTCATGTCCATTGAGTCAGTGATGCCATCCAACCATCTCATCCTCTGTCGTCCCCTTCTTCTCCTGGCTTCAATCTTCCCAGCATCGGGGTCTTTTCAAAGAGTCAGTTCTTTGCATCAGGTGGCCAGAGTATTGGAGTTTCAGCTTCAGCATCAGTCCTTCCAATGAATAATCAGGACTGACTTCCTTTAGGAAGGTAGCCATTAACCACTATTTTTTAAAAAAAATTATTCTATAAATATTTTATAATAACTTCAAGTGGAATGTAACCTTTAAGAAGTGTGAATTACTATGTTGTACATCTGAAACTTACATAATATTGTACATCAACTATAGCTCAGTTTTAAAAAAAGAGGTACAAACTATTGGTATTATGTACCTATTAACATATGTAAGCTGTAAGGATACACTGTATAGCACAGGGAATAGTCAACATTTTATGATAACTTTAAATGTAGTATAATCTATACAAGCGGCTTCCCAGGTGGCACTAGTGGTAAAGAACTTGTCTACCAATGCAGGAGATGTAAGAGACTCTGGTTAAGTCCCTGGGTCAGGAAGATCCCTTGGAGGAGGGCATGACAACCCACTCCAGTATTCTTGCCTGGGAAGTCCTATGGACAGAAGATCCTGGTGGGCCACAATCCATGGCATCACAAGGAGTCTGACATGAACCAACTGAGCATACACGCACAATCTATAAAAACTACCTTCACCATGTTCTACACCTGAAACTAAGACAGTAACTCTAAGTCAACTGTACTTCAAAAAGAATACTATCCCCCCAAAATTATTCCCTGGCTTTTCTACATAATGTTACTTTATTGCTATGCTTATTTTTGCCTTTTTTTGAACTAGAAAAAGAAGTTATGTTGTTCATCTTCTTTGACTTGTTGTCTTCTCTTAACATTATAGGTTTTAAGAGTTCAACTAGAGTAATTGAAGTTCAGTCATTTAACCAACTCTGAGACAGTCCATCATTTAAACATACATCAGTGATTTTTCATCCACTCTTTTTTTTCAGTGGACATTTGGGTCTTCTTCCATTTTTTTGCTCTGAGAAACAAGGCTGCTACAGCCATTCTTATGAATCCTTCTAAAGCACATTTGCAAGAGTTTCTATAGGGTAGGTACTAGTGTCACACAGTAAACAAGCAATCAAATTCAAGAGATAATACCCAATTGTTTCTAAGATGGTTATATCAATCTGTGCTCCCACAACAATGTAGGAATTTCTGTTACTCCATATTTTTGCAACATCTCATATTAATAGTTTCATCAAATGGGAATAAAATGGCATCTCCTTATTTATCATTTCCTATTATTTCTAATTCAAGATTTATGGTTTTTAAGCTGTTTTGTTTCTAAATTTCTAATACTGATATAATTGCTTTTTGATCAGAAAACCTGTATGATATCAATTCTGACTTGCTTCATGATCTCATGTATGGTCAATTTTGTAAACATTTTGCATATGCTTGAAAAATGTATGTCCTCTTTGGCTAGATACACGGTTTCAACTATGATTATTAGATCAAAATTATTAAATGTAAGGCTCCAATCAATGTTTTAGATACTTACTAGTACTTTTTTGTCTCTTGTTCTATTAATTATCAAAAGATACCTTCTTTAGCAGTGCCTATCTGCTACTAAATCCTTCCACTGAATTTTCTTTTAATCACAAATAATATACTTCTTTTTAAAATTTATTTTTAATTGGAGGATAATTGCTTTACAATGTTGTACTGGATTTTGCTGTACAACAATCAGAATCAGCCATGTGTATACACATATCCACTCCCTCCTGAACCTCCCTCCCACTCCCCCACCCCCATCCCACCCCTCTGGCTGTCACAGAGCACTGGGTCGAGCTGCCCGTGTTATATGGCAATTTCCCACTAGCTATCTACTTTACATAAGGTAATGTATATAAAGAGCTGTATATATAAGTGTATATAAAAATGTTATATACAAAAATATACATAAAAATTGTTTCTTTTTTTCATATCTACCTGATCATTTTTGTAGTCTCATGTTCTTTATCCATTTTCCCCTGATTCATTTTATTTTTAGGAACACATTATATGGGGCTTCCCTGGTAGCTCAGCTGGTAAAGAATCCACCTGCAATGCAGGAGACCCCAGTTTGATTCCTGGGTCAGGAAGATCCCCTGGAGAAGGGATAGGCTACCCACTCCAGTATTCCTGGGCTTCCCTGGTGGCCCAGCTGGTAAGGAATCCACCTGCAATGCAGGAGACTTGGGTCTGATCCCTTGGTTGGGAAGATCCGCTGGAGAAGGGAACAGCTACTCACTCTAGTATTTTTGATGTACATAGATATATCAAAAATTGTTCCATCTTTTTCATATCTACCTGATCATTTTTGTAGTCTCATGCTCTTTATCCATTTTCCCCTAATTCATTTTATTTTCAGGAACACAATACATAGATAGCTGTTGAATACTCTGTTTAATACTCTGTATTCCATGTTTCTAAAATCTGAAGTCCTTTCAGATGTACCTCTATTCTTTCCGTTCGCTTGTTCTGTTGACTGCCATTTATGATGGCTTGTTTCCCTGTATGTATTCTGTTATTTTTGACTATGATATGAGCTCAGCTCTGTAGGAATGTTCTAAGGCTTGTGTGTGAAGGTACAATCCTCCAGGGAGGATTAGCATTAGCTTCTGCCATTTGTCTGTGGCATGAAGATCAGGTTCCATTTGGAATTAAATTTTCCTTCTTGAGTTTTTGGGTTTTTTTTTAAGCCTAATCCAATAGTGTACATTCTAACTCCAGGCTCCTATGAGTCTGGGTCAATGATTTTTAAATCAGGGGAGTCCCTACTGTCATGACACTATTTTTAAAAAAATATTTAAAACTGGCACAATAGAAACTGCTTACTCTTAAAAGGATGAAATGTGATAAGAAATATAAAGTATAAAATGCACACGTGACATACACAGCAGGTGCTCATTAAAAGTAAAACCTCCTGCTTTATCTCTAATCCTCTATAAGCCACAATTAAAAAGCTTCATCTTCTGCCTACCCCAATTTTCTCATTCAGAAATAACATTTCTCTTTGGGGCAATTTTTCATGCAGCTGTTAAGATACACTTTCACATTCTGTTAACTTTCTGTAAATGAGTGTCATTTAACACACTGGGTCTCAGAGTTACCAGCTGCTTTTATTTACTTCTATACATCTTAGGTTCCCATGTAAATTAAGTTCCTTGAAGATAAGGATGGTTTTTTATTTACCTTCTGGCCAGTGAGAACATACTATATGCTCAGTAAACTCGGATAAGTGAAAAAATCCTCTCACAAAACAGAGAGCAGTGCATTAATATAAGGTACACGGGTGTAGGTGGCTGATCACCATCTGAGAAGGGAAAAGGCAAAGGCAGTAAAGAAAAAAGACATATACATTTATAAAATCAAATAGTGTATGTGGCCTTTCCTACTGGCTCAGCAGTAAAGAATCCGCCAGCAACGCAGGTGATTCAGGAGATGTGGGTTCAGTTCCTGAGTCAGGAAGATATCCTGGCGGAGGGCATGGCAATCCGCTCCAGTATTCTTGCCTGGAGAATCCCATGGACAAAGGAGTCTGATGGACTATAGCGCATGGTGTCGCAGAGTCAGACACAACTAGAGCAACTGAGCATGTTGTATGTAATGCAACATATATTTATATAATACATTAAATTTATCAACTCATAAAATATGCATTGATTTCACAATTTTCTCTATAGCAGACACTAGGTAGAACAAGAGGAAGCCACTGAAAATCTATCATATAATCATAGTATATTCACATAAGATTTATAGATAGAAGCAATCAACTTACAGCATAACAGTATCTTCCCTTGAGGTAATACAAAAAGGGTTCTTCAGGTAAAAATTCGATTGCTTTATCTAGATGTTCCTGAAAGAAAATTAAAAAAAAAAAGTCATCTCCCAAGTTTCAGGCAGTGTTGAATGACACTCTGCCTAGCAATTTCAAAGGGACTTTATGATGCTGTTTCCTCCCCTTCTTTATCATTAATACAATTAAGCTTATCAATAATTCAATCATCAAAATGCTCACAACTACAAGTGTGATTATGATTTAACAAGGCTACAGAGGATGTCACTTTAAAAAGAGAAAACAGCCAAGTCTCATTTTTGTCTGCCCATGACTTGCCTACCTAATACTTCAGTTCAGTTCAGTTCAGTTGCTCATTCATGTTTGACTCTTTGTGACCCCATGAATCGCAGCACACCAGGCCTCCCTGTCCATCACCAACTCCCGGAATTTACTCAAACCCATGTCCATTGAGTCAGTGATGCCATCCAGCCATCTCATCCTCTGTCGTCCCCTTCTCCTCCTGCCCCCAATCCGTCCCAGCTTCAGGGTCTTTTCCAATGAGTCAACTCTTAGCATCAGGTGGCCAAAGTACTGGAGTTTCAGCTTCAGCATCAGTCCTTCCAATGAACACCCAGGACTGATCTCCTTTAGGATGAACTGGTTGGATCTCCTTGCAGTTCAAGGGACTCTCAAGAGTCTTCTCCAATACCACACTTCAAAAGTATCAATTTTTCGGCGCTCAGCTTTCTTCACAGTCCAACTCTCACATCCATACATGACCACTGGAAAAACCATAGCCTTGACCAGACAGACCTTTGTTGGCAAAGTAATGTCTCTGCTTTTTAACATGCTGTCTAGGTTGGTCACAACTTTCCTTCCAAGGAGTAAGCGTCTTTTAATTTCATGGCTGAAATCACCATCTGCAGTGATTTTGGAGCCAAGAAAAATAAAGTCTGACACTGTTTCCACTGTCTCCCCATCTGTTTGCCATGAAGTGATGGGACCAGATGCCATGATCTTAGTTTTCTGAATGTTGAGCTTTAAGCCAACTTTTTCTCTCTCCTCTTTCACTGTGTGGGTATAATGGAAAAGAGAAGAGCAGAACCAGGTAACAGAGGAATCTACCCACGTGACATTGTCAAATGGTTACAGGGAGCTGGAAAAGGAAGAACTCTTTGCCCATCCTTACAATTACTGACCCGGAGGGGTTACTTACTGAGTGAATGTAACTATTTGTTGTTGCTGTTCAGTTGCTAAGTCCTATCTATGCTTTGTGGCCCCATGGACTATAGCATGCCGGGCTCCTCTGTCCTACACTGTCTTCTGGAGTTTGCTCAAATTCACGTCCATTGAGTTAGTGACGCTATCTAACCATCTCATCCTGGGCTGCCCTCTTCTCCTTTTGCCTTCAATCTTACCCAGCATCAGGGGCTTTTCCAATGAGTCAAGTCTTCGCATCAGGAAGCCAAAGTATTGGAGCTTCAGCTCCAGCATCAGCCCTTCCAATGAATATTCATGTTTAATCTCATTTAGGATTGACTGGTTGGATCTCCTTGCAGTCCAAGAGACTCTCAAGAGTCTTTTCCAACACCATAATTCAAACTTATCAATTCTTCAGCACTCAGCCTTCTTTACGATCCAACTCTCACAACCACACATGACTACTGGAAAAACCATAGCTTTGCCTATACAGACCTTTGCTGGCAGCGTGCTGTCTGCTTTTTAATATGCTGTCTAGGTTTGTCTTAGCTTTTCTTCCAAGAGGCAAGCATCTTTTCATTTCATGGCTGCAGCCACCATCTGCAGTGATTTTAGAGCCCAAGAAAATAAAATCTGTCACTGTTTCCATTTTTTCCCCATGTATTTGCCATGAAGTGATGAAATCAGATGCCATGATCTTAGGTTTTTGAATGGTGAGTTTCAAGCCAGCTTTTTCACTCTCCTCTTTCACCCTTATCAAGAGGCTCTTTAGATCCTCTTCACTTTCATTAGAGTAGTATCATATCTGAACTTGTGTATATTTCTCCCAGAAATCTTGATTCCAACTTGTGATTCATCCAGTCCAATATTTCACATGATGTACTTTACAAAGAAGTTAAATAAGCAGGGTGACAATACACAGTCTTGATGTACTCCTTTCCAATTTTGAACCAGTCAGTTGTTCCACGTCCAATTCTAACTGTTGCTTCTTGACCCACAAACAGGTTTCTCAGGAGACAGGTAAGGTGGTCTGGTACTCCCATGTCTTTGAAAATTTTTCAGTTGCTGAACCACACATTCAAAGGCTTTAGTGTAGTCAATGAAGCAGAAGTAAATGCTTTTCTGGATCTCCCTTGCTTTCTCCATGATGTAACAAATGTTGGCAATTTGGTCTCTGGTTCCTCTGCCTCTTTGAAACCCAGCTTGTACATCTGGAAGTTCTTGGTTCACGTATTGCTGAAGCCTAAACTGAAGGAGTCTAAACATAACCTTGCTAGCATGTGAAATGAGCGCAAGTGTATGGTAGCTTGAACATTCTCTAGGATTGCACTTCTTGGATTGGAATGAAAATTGATCTTTTCCAGCCCTGTAACCACTGTAACTATAACTACAGGCACATTATAAATAACGAGTATGCTCATTACTTATTTTACTCATTTATCATGGCAAATTTAAGTCCTACATTGAATTCTACTACTCCTAACAAATTAATTTGTAGAAAATGTTAACGAATTAATTCCAGCCATGTTTATGATGTAGGTGAGCTCACGACCAAAAGGCTAAGACTCTGCCTTTAGAAAGACAATACTCATCTACTTTGTGACTTCTTTCAGGTTCTATAATAATAATAATGATTTTTAATCAACCAAAGAGCTTGATTCTTTTTGGCACAGTACTTTTAAAGACTGACATTTCATTTAAGTAAAAAAGATGAATTCCTAGAGATAAATTTGTTGAATAATTTGATTTATACTTGTTAATGGAACATTAACAAGCTACATTAAAACATTTTTAATATCAAGAAATACCTTGAAGCGATATCCGTAGTTAATTTTGTTTTGTAAGCCCTCAAACTCAGATACATAGCCACACAAAACTGCATACCTGAAAAGGATAAAAACAGTGGACACTGTGTAAACTTTTAATGAAATATCATGAAATTTAACATTTAAAAAATATATCTAAACTATTCATTAATATTTAACAAAAGTATTCATATAGATGCAAGGACCCTAAAAATAATAAATATTTGACATAAATATGAGGCCAGTTTCCTCATCTATAACTGGGGATGCTAACACCCTCTATCTTGTATATGTGTTGTGAGGGTAAAATATCTAAAATGTAATTGCTTAGAATAGTGCCTGGCATGAGTGAGTTTCATGAAAGATGAGCTACTGCTATCACAATCATCAACATCAAAGTCACAAAGAAACTCTCAGAAAAGACTAATCAGATTAAAAGTATTAAACTGAAAAATATACTCTGTCAACAGATTCCTGTTTCTTTTTCATAAAAATAAAAAGTTCACGGTTCTCTTTAATGTCATTTGAAAATTAAAATAAGTATCATCACTAAAAACAAAAACTAATACAAAATTTTTTTAAAATACTAAAATCAAAGATAATTTTAGACTATGTTTTTTCAAAAATTTCCCATGCCCTTCAATCCTTCCTCAGAAACACATTACTACAATATTGCATCTCATGAATTCTTTCCTTTTTTCCCATTAGGAATATAAAATTTACATCAATAATTACTTGACTATAAATTGGATACAATATTTGTTCAGCAAACTGCTTCCTCTAAAAATTGGGCATATGTTACTTTTTACATTCAGACTATTTCTGTACAAAAGTATTTAGAGTTTTTCTGTCTGAGGCAAAATATTCATTTACTTAAATATCAGTATTTCAAAAGTAGGTCCTAATTTTCACTTGCATCTTCATAACTGAAATGGAAATGCAATTTTGGGTGTTATTTATCTTGATTGTTTCTGTGGATAAACATGTGAACTTTAAAATAAGAAGGTGAAGAGAACAATTTTCTTAATTTGGAATAGTCAGACCATTCCTGGACACAGAAGATCACACAATTCACAACAACTTATGCACAACCAATAAAATGGCCACTTTTCAGTTATAACTTTTTTGACCTCTTAATTTTCATTAGAAAAATCAATAATGTCCTAACAGTAAAAGCAAGAGTTATGACAAAAGCAACCTATTAAAGGTGAGCTGAGAACTTACCTATATTAGGAGATACTACTTAAATTACTATATTTAAATACTATCTTAAATTACTATAATACATTTATCATAACTGTTGTTGTTTAGTTACTTAGTCGTGCCTGACTCTTTTATGACCCCATGGACTATAGTCCATCAGGCTCCTCTGTCCATGGGATTTCCCAGGCAAGAACACTGGATTGGGTTACCATTTCCTTCTCCAGGGAATCTTCCCAACCCAGGGATTGAACCTGCATCTCCTACATTGGAAGGCACATTATTTACCACGAAGCCACCCGGGAAGCCCAACACAACTGTAGCAATATTGATATACAATACTGAAAAATTTTATAATGAACCAATATTAATACATTATTGTTAACTACACTCATGCTTCCTTCTAATTTCCAGCTGTTTTTCCCTCATGTCCTTAAATTTTGACATTTTTCTCTCCATCCCTCCTTTCATATTTATCCCTGTTAATTCACCTATTTTTTAGTATCTCTTTCCCATGTGAAAATCTTTTAATTACTCCTGTCATCCATCATCCACACTGTTTCTCTTAATTTTGTGCCAGCTGCAACCTTTATAAGAATACCTTCCATATCTTCACCCACTGAAAAAAATGACTGAACACACTTCTGTCTAAGATTCAGATCTGGAATGATAGAATAATGATATTGTCAACAGATATTCTGTTGAATAATTGAGGCTCAAACCATTCTCATACCACAGGTAACCCAGAATCTTGCCTGTATTTTAACATTGTCTCCAAGAAGATTACAGGTGAACTTGTTTTCATGCTTTCCTTAAATCCAGACAATTAGCTTAATTTCCCTACTCTATCCACTAGCAAAGAAAAAATAGATCATGTCACATTTTTAGAAAAATCTATGTTGGATCTACTTGAACTTCATCATTCACAGAACACCCAACCAACTATTCGTGCTGGAGTCAAAGGAAAAGATTCGATGTTCACTGATCTACAGTGGTGGCATAAATCTTCTGTTTTCTGAAAAATCAGAAAAGCTTATGCACATCTGATCTAGCTTTTACAGAGTTCTTTCAGCACATTCTTTACAAGTCACTCTAAGTGAAGGGGGAAAAAAAGGAAAAAACACGACTTATGAAAACCATAATATGAAATATGTGCATTTTCTCTTATAAATAATCTGTCACCAGAGTCTTATGTTTTTTTGTCTGTTTCTTTAAAGTCTAAAGTATTATTTATCTTCTTACAAACCATAAATTCAAAGTTCACCTGACCACTTTTCCCAAAAGAATCATCATTTCTTTTCTGGCAATCAATCTCACCTATAACTACATGTATGTGGTATATATGTTGTTCTTTTTGATACTGTTTATCTTAAAAAAGTGTAATTTAAAATTTTACTTTGTAAACTCTTAGGTTGATGGGAACAAGTAAGCAACTATACACAATATGGTCTATGACCTCCATCTAGAGGTTGTTCTAACTATATTTGCTTTAACAAAAATTCTATATTTTCTTTGCATCTATAGCAAATATTTTAATAAACTGACAAGCAGCCCTGTCTCAACAACCAGTAAGCAACTATTAAATCAACTCCAAGAAGCTTTTGATTTAGTGCCAATGCTATTTATACTGTGAAAAAGCAGAGGAAGAGTAATGTAAAAGATGAAATACTGAGTATATACAAATACAAGATCTGGCTTTTATTTTCCCCACTTATTGTGTGACTCTTGGTTACTAATCACAGCACCACATGGCACACACATGTACCAGCCTCCACACACAAACATCATACACACAGACTGCCTTGTTTACACTTTCCATAAAATGGAAACAGGTTGTTCTGTGAAACACATGCATGTGGATATAATTTGTGAACAGTAGAGCACAATGAATATGTAAGACATTATTTATAATTAAGGTCAGGCCTGATCAGCTAACAAACTGCAAATCCATTGGTAATTTTGCTCTCTTGATTCTAGAAGGATTTTAGACTGGTACAACAAAAACAATAGAATTTTACAGAAAGCTTATGTAGCTTTAAAGTTACAAGGCAGTTTCATTTGGAAAATATGAAGATGAAAAACAAGTTTTTAAAATAACATTTGTTTTTCAATTATTCCCTTGATATCAATCCTTTATGAAATTATTCCTAATGATTGCTCTTTTATTTCAAATTGAAGGCTTATAAACCATCACAGTGGAGAAGGCGATGGCACCCCACTCCAGTACTCTTGCCTGGAAAATCCCATGGACGGAGGAGCCTGGTGGGCTGCAGTCCATGGGGTCGCACAGAGTCGGACACGACTGAAGCGACTTAGCAGCAGCAGAAACCATCACAGAACCCTGTAAACCATGGGTCAACAAACTTTCACTTCAGGGTTAGGTAGCAAACATTTTAGGTTGTGGGATCAGAGAGTCTGTTACAACTATTCAACATCATTGCTATGTACAATGCACAGGGATGGCTGTGCTCCAATAAAATTTTATTTACAAAAGCAGGCAGTTGCATTTGGCCTGGAGGCCATGGTTTGTCATTTATACTGAATGAATGAGAAAAAGTCTTAACATATTGAGGAAAATTCCAGCAGAATAAGATATTTTCATGATATTTTATTACAATTGACTATGGAATCAATACACTTAAATTTCACCCATTTCTTCTCAAACCAAAGTTTTAATTTTTCTTTTCCATCAGCCTAAACCTCTATTACTGTATTTAATTGAATGAGAATTCTTAAATCTAGTAGGTACATCACAATAAATTCTAAAAATTAAGATAAAATTGACTTTTGAATTTATTAAATTTTATTAACTGACCAGATTTTAATTGTTTTTTAATTAAAAAGTCATACTGAATAAAAAAATCACGTGAAACACAAATGGATCAGTACTCTGTGTGTTTCTGTGTGTATATGGATAAGATTTCCCTCATGGTCAAATATCACCATTATAAATAAGGTAGCTGCGTGCAAGCTAAGTCGCTTCAGTCATGTCCAACTCTTTGTGACCCCATGAGCTGTAGCCTGCCAGGCTCCTTTGTCTATGGGGATTCTCCAGGCAAGAATAGTGGGGTGAGTCACCTCCAGGGGATCTTCCAGGCCCAGGGATCGAACCTGCGTGTCCTGCAGCTCCTGCACTGCAGGCAGATTCTTCACCGCTGGGCCACTGGGGGAGCCCAAATGAGGCAGTGAGTACACAACAAAAGGACTTCTCTAGTGGCTCAGTGGTAAAGAATCCACCTGAAATGCAGGAGCTGCAGGAGGCATGGGTTTGATCCCTGGCTCGGAAAGATCCCCTGGAGAAGGGCACGGCAACCCACAGCAGTATCCTTGCCTGGAGAATCCCATGGACAGAGGAGACTGGTGGCCTACAATCCATAGGGTGGCAAAGAGTTGGCCATGACTGAAGCGACTTAGCAAACATGCACACACACAACAAAAGTGAAAATAGATGAACAAAGGAGAAGTAGCCAGATTAGTGGAAGACAGGTTGGGAAATACACTAAGGAAGAGTTAAGCGTAATCGGTCCTCACACAGTGAATTTTAAAGTGTTTATGATGCATTCAGGGAAGATTCAGGATTGTTCTTGTATGGAAATTTGGAAGTTCACACTGATAAGTGTCCTCAAATTGAGGATTAACATCAAATGTACCTTTTTAATGTGATTCTTCACTGACACAGATGCCTGCATGGGAGAAGGAGGGCTGCTTCCCTGGTGGTTCAGACAGTAAAGAATCCACCCACAGTGCGGGAGACCCGGATTTGATCCTTGGGTTGGGAAGATATTTTGGAGGAGGGCATGGCAACCCACTCTAGTACTCTTGCCTGGAGAATCCCCATGGACAGAGGAGCCTGGTGGGCTACAGCCCATGGGGTTGCAAAGAGTCAGACACGACTGAGTGACTAAACACACACAGCACATAGGACAAGGCAGAGGACACCAGAGAAAGAGGAAGCAGAGGCTCAGAGTTAAGAGTAGGGCTTGAGTATTCTTTCTGCATCCAAATCTGGCTAATCAGCACCCATTTACAATACCAAAAGAGAGGAAGACAGTGTAGCTTGATCAGTAGAAATTCCTTATGGTTATACTAGAAACGGAAGAATAGAGTACCTTAACACATATTAATTTATTAATACTCAGTTCAGTTCAGTTCAGCCGCTCAGTCGCTCAGTCGTGTCTGACTCTTTGTGACCCCATGAATCGTAGCACGCCAGGCCTCCCTGTCCATCACCAACTCCCAGAGTTTACTCAAACTCATGTCCATCGAGTTGGTGATGCCATCCAGCCATCTCACCCTCTGTCGTCCCCTTTTCCTCCTGCTCCCAACCCCTCCCAGCTACAGGGTCTTTTCCAATGAGTCAACTCTTCACATGAGGTAGCCAAAGTATTGGAGTTTCAGCCTCAGCATCAGTCCTTCCAATGAACTCCCAGGACTGATCTCCTTTAGGATGGACTGGTTGGATCACCTTGAAGTCCAAGGGACTCTCAAGAGTCTTCTCCAACACCACAGTTCAAAAGCATCAATTCTTTGGTGCTCAGCCTTCTTCACAGTCCAACTCTCACATCCACACATGACCACTGGAAAAACCATAGCCTTGACTAGACGGACCTTTGTTGGCAAAGTAATGTCTCTGCTTTTTAATATGCTATCTAGGTTGGTCATAACTTTCCTTCCAAGGAGTACATATCTTTTAATTTCATGGCTGAAGTCACCATCTGCAGTGATTTTGGAGCCCCCCAAAATAAAGTCTGACACTGTTTCCACTGTCTCCCCATCTATTTGCCATGAAGTGATGGGACCAGATGCCATGATCTTAGTTTTCTGAATGTTGAGCTTTAAGCCAACTTTTTCACTCTCCTTCATTTTCATCAAGAGGTTTTTCAGTTCCTCTTCACTTTTTGCCATAAGAGTGGTAGCATCTGCATATCTGAGGTTATTGATCTTTCTCCCGGCAATCTTGATTCCAGCTTGTGCTTCTTCCAGCCCAGCGTTTCTCATGATGTACTCTGCATATAAGTTAAATAAGCAGGGTGACAATATACAGCCTTGACGTACTCCTTTTCCTATTTGGGACCAGTCTGTTGTTCCATGTCCAGTTCTAACTGTTGCTTCCTGACCTGCATACAGGTTTCTCAAGAGGCAGGTCAGGTGGTCTGGTATTCCCATCTCTTGAAGAATTTTTACAGTTTATTGTGATCCACACAGTCAAAGGCTTTGGCATAGTCAATAAAGCAGAAATAGATGTTTTTCTGGAACTCTCTTGCTTTTTCGATGATCCAGCAGATGTTGGCAATTTGATCTCTGGTTCTTCTGCCTTTTCTAAAACCAGCTTGAACATCTGGAAGTTCACAGTTCACGTATTGCTGAAGCCTGGCTTGGAGAATTTTGAGCATTACTTTACTAGTGTGTGAGATGAGTGCAACTGTGCAGTAGTTTGAGCATTCTTTGGGATTGGAATGAAAGGTGACGTTTTCCAGTCCTGTGGCCACTGCTGAGTTCTCCAAATTTGCTGGCAAATTGATAGTGTTATGCAAAAAAAGGAAGGTAATGTTGGCTATATAAATAATAGCCAAGACCCTCATATACTGGAGAGATGACCTTAAAGATATCTACCAGGATGTTAACCTTCCTCCTAGAATTCTGGCAGAGGCACTAAGGGTACAGAACAATACTTTATCTATTAGGTACGCCAGTTCCTAAAGCAAGATGTTCATCCATGCATGACACATGCATGAGTGAAATGACTCACAAGTTCTGCCAGGCTTAGCTCTTCATCCATCTCCAGGCTATCTAAGAGAAGGCAAAGAGTTCTCTGTAGCAGAAGAGAGCTGGAGGTGGGGCAGATTTCTTCAAATAGAATTGCTAGTGTACTTGGGAGTCTTGTCCCACCTTCTCATGGGAGAGGGAACGGGCTAGGCTTGTATCTCATTTTAAGCCATGTGATAGCAGCTTCAAAAGATTTGCTCTTATTTTGGCATGTCCCTTAGAGCTTATCCTTCAGTGTTTGGGGGACATAAAAAATGTTCTGACTCCTGCCTAGGAATTTTAAAGTGAGAGTTTGTGAGTGGCGCTCCCCCTGCTGGTGGCAATACAGAGAAACAGGTCTGCTTTGGGAAAATGGATTGCAGTTTTGAACTGGTGGAGGAAATAGGAATTTCCAGGAGAACAAACGTGGAGCTGCAGAAAAGAAGCCATTTTAAGAGAGATTTTGCCTAAAGCATCTCAGAATCATAAAAGAATCCCAAAGAGGTGTGGATTTCTGAAAACCTAGGTCGGAGAGAAGGGTCATAGATCAATGTATTACTAGCACCTAACATACCTATATTGCTGGGGAGAAAAAATAATTAAGGAACTGAGAAATGTTGCAAAACTGCAACTGTGAGTAAAATAAAGTGCTAATTTAAAAAAATCTATTTCTTTCTGTGTTTTATAATTCTAAATATACAAAGGATACAAAACAAAACAATACTGTCAAGAATAATTTTTTGTCCCAAGGATACCCACCTACAACCATCCAACTAATTAAATTTCCTTTGTTTGAGTTTTGTTATACTAGAAACGGCTTTTCTTTCACTTATGGAATGTGTATACCTTGTCATCAAGGTATAATAGCTGATGTGCTTTTATTCTTTGAAGCATTCTCCCTGCATTTCATTTAGAAACATGGCATCATTTTAGCATTTGTTTCCAAACAAAATCTTATATAAATATAATTTAATTAGAATTTATCATATTCAAAGTTATTGGACTTGGTAGATTCAGTTATGAAATATTCAATGAAAGTTTATCTTAAAAACATTTAAAATATACACACTGAAAAATACATGAGAATAAACAGAACAAGAACAATTATTGCATAAATTCTATGTACTTACCATAGATGACAATATCCATTCTTGGGTGCTCTCGTAATAGCTTTTTCACCTAATGTCTTTCCTGAAAGATAAATGTACTTACAGTTTGGTACCTTCATGTGAGTTGGTAGGGGGTAAATTATTGAATTAAGCCAGTAGTTTCCAAAATTTTGGTCCCAATACCAAAAGTCATTACCTAGAATCTTGTTATAAAAGCAAATTTGGGGCCACATGGAAGACTTACTCGATCACAACCTCTGAGACACAGCTATCTGCATTAACTGGCCTTTAGTGGTTCTGATGCAAATTCAAGTGTAGACTCACTGGACTAAGTGATTTAACCAAATGCAAAAGAAGTCATTCAATCATTATTAATAGACATTGCTTTATAATTAACTCAACCAACATTTATTGAGTACTTTCTAAATGTCATATTATGTGAGCCCCTGGGAATAAAAAGTCAAATAAAACACAATTCTTGACCTCCAAGAATTCACTGTTCAGTAGGCAGCAGGTATATAAACAAAAAAATTATGTGTAAAGATAAATACAAGGTTAAAAAGAGCATAGCAGAGAATGGAGACAGCAACTCTATCTAAAGGGGTAAGGGAAGGTGTCCCAGAGAAGCTCTTATCTAATCATTCATAACAGTGAACACATTCAGTGCATAAATAATTCCCCTAAATAATTTTACTTCATTTTAGAATAACTTTTAATAATCTGTTAATTTCTGAATAGAGGTTTGTTTAAACCACATCCTCAAAATCTTTCTCAAAAAGCTGCTGTTTTATTTTATACAATCTCCTTTTCTCTGCTCTAATTTTTTTTTTTTTTTGCTTGAAGAGCAATGATGTGATACAATGATCTGGAGAATGCTCTTCTAAATAAGCAGTTTAGATAATCTTTATAAATAAAAATCTTTTATTCTAAAATCATTCTCCTATTTGTTAATTTGTTAAGGTGGTATTCTATAGCTCTCTCCATTAAGAGAACTACCTGGTGTATAAATCTACATAAATTGGAAAAAATTAAAAAAGCAGTCTTTTAAAATAACAACTGATATTACATTGTTGGCATATATTAGAAGAGTCAATAATTTGATAACGAGTGCTTGAAAAACATAAATATTTTTAATGTGTAAACATTAAAAACTAAATCAACATCTTACCTACATTACCAAGTGAACAAAAATAGCTTTGAGGGCACTGCCATAAGCCTAAAATAGAGGCAATTCCATGGCTCTGAAAATATAAAAGGGAGCCAGATAGTATACATACTGGTTTTGCACCCTCACTGATGCAGCTTCAGCCTGAAAAGGAACCTATTTCCCTTAAAAAAATTTTTTTTATTTTGTGGTCTATTTGTGTCCATCTCTTAATCCTGAAAGTTACAAATATGTTCTTTTAGATATAAGGTTCATATTTGATTTGCAAGACAAGTGTGATCAGTCATAGGACTTCAACAGATGTACTGCAAAAATGGGACACCACAGTTAGCAGGTAAGGAAAGAATTTTGTACTCTCCAGGGATCAAATCTTCCCTCAATATAACAAGTTCAAATATACTGTCATGAGGAGCAAGAGTCAGCAAACTTTTCCTCCTTCATACTGAGTGCCCATGCCCTTCAACTCCAGTCTCCAATTTCCTGGCTCCTGGATTCTTTGCCAGGCACTTATTACCTGTGCACTGAATTACAATTGCCTGTCTCTGTATTGATCTTGTCAAATTATGTGGCATTCTGGCTGTTATTCTTTTGTTGTTACTTTAGAAAACAGGATGGCAATAATGAACAATCATGGACTCATCACTCTGCTTAAACAATTGTCAACTCAAGGCTTACCTTGTTTTACTGAGATAAATTTTGAAAAAACATTAAAGTCTGAGTAGTTATTTCTTTGTGGCACCTGGAGTTCTATGTTATAGGAAGTAAGAAGGGTTATTTTAATTTTGGTGAAAGACTACTATTATTATTGCTTCTCAAATTATTACCCCTTAATGTATCATCTTTCTATGATTTTATAAATTTTGAAAGCATGGAATTTGAGTTTTTCAGTTGCCTATCCTAATATGCTCAAATATTTTTAGAGACCATATACTGTTATCTAAAAATTCATTCATGGTTTACTATAATAATGATTACTATCTGAGGATAATTAATATTCACAAAATACTTACCAATATTAGCATAATGCTTCTTTTCTTGTGTATTTGTAGATAGCTCATACATGTCTCCATAAGCACGAGCAAACCGCCAAATAAACTCTATTTCATCTCTAAACTGAACACACAGAACTGCCCATTAGATAAACTTTGTAATGTGACTAAACTACTGCAATGTTATAAAAAATTAGGTAGGTAAACTGGTACTTAGAAATGACTGTATTCATGGGCATATCACACTTTAAATTCAAATATTCATGGCTATAAAAAAATATAGATCACTATATTCACGGTGATCCAATGTAGTGTTACATTTGGGTCTTAAAAACCAATGAATATTATGCAGACACCAGCTCCACACTATGAAGAAGAGAAAATTGATAGGTATTAGAATTTATAAATTCTCTCTGGGTGGTAGTATCCTCTCCTTGCTCTCCTTTCTAACTTATCTACTATCAATATGATGCCTCAATGGGCATTTCAGATAATATCTGTAAATTATTTGAGATTATATATATTCAAAAGAACAGTCACATTTTTTTTTTTTACCTAAATTACCTAAAACACAACCCTAAAGATTTAAAAACTTTGAGTTCATGTGTTTAGAGTTTCTAAATCCTCAAAAGTTAGCCTTAAATTTCTCATGGGAAAGAAGAAGATTTATAGATCTTTGTGATATTGCAAAATCCTTTTTTCCCCTTTGGTGGTGGTGGTGGTGGTGGGAAGGATGAGCTTTGTCAATTCAGTCCAACATTAAACATTGAAAAATGATTACTGGTAGAAATACAGTGAAATACTAATGACTGTTATATTAATAACTGAAAGATATTGAACTTAATGTGCAGCTTTTCCTACCTTGAGAAGCAGTACATCTTGTCCTTTTTCTGTTATAAAATATTTAAGAAATATATCAAATTGATAAAATCAGTGTCAATCTGTATAATCAACGGGATCTCTGGTTCTCATTTTTATGACCTTTGAGCCTAATAAACCCTTCGTTGTTGTTGTCGTGTCTGACTCTAAGTTGAGTCCAAGCCTTTGCTACTCCACGGGACTGCAGCATGCCAGGTTCCTCTTTCCTCTACCATCTCCAGGAGTTTGAACAAATTCATGTCCATTGTGACGATGATGCCATCCAACCATCTCATCCTCTGTTGCCCTCTTTTCCAACATCAGGGTTTTTTCCAATGAGTCAGCTTTTCCCATCAGGTGGCCAAAATACATATTGAAGCTTCAGCTTCAGCATCAGTCCTTCCAATGAATATTCAGGGTTGATTTACTTTAGAATTGAATGATTTGTTCTCCTTGCTGTTCAAGGGACTCTCAAGAGTTTTCTTCAGCACCACAAGTTTGAAAGCATCAGTTCCTGGATGTTCAGTTTTCTTTATAGCCCAACTCTCACATCTATACATGATTACTGGAAAAACTATAGCTTTAACTATATGAACTTTTGTCAGAAAAGTGATGTCTCAACTTTTTAATGTGCTGTCTAGGTTTGTCATACCTTTTCTTCCAAGGATCAAGCATCTTTCAATTTCATGGCTACAGTCACCATCTGCAGTGATTTTTTAGCCCAAGAAAATAAAATCTGTCACTGTTTCTACTTTTTCCCCATCTATATGCTATGAAGGGATGGGACTGGATGCCATGATCTTAGTTTTTTGAATAAACTTTTTTATTTACTTAAAAAAAATTTAGTAATATTATAAAAAAAATTTACATCAGTCATTTAGCTTTTGAAAACTGTGACACAATTGCTGTGGTCATAACATGAATGGAAGAGTAGATTAAAAAAAAATTAAAACTATACAAACAGGTTATTATCACATATATCTTACCTTTTCTTTGTGGTCACAAAGCAGCTCAAAACTCTCCACTTTTCTGGACTCATTCACTCGTAAATTATCAGCCATCTGGATAAGGGCATCTAAATTTAATTCCTCCACATGAGTGTTAAATGCCTTAGGGACTGGAAAACTCTGTTCTTCGGTGTCAGTATTAGCTGTAACATACCTAAAATTGCAGAAATAATCATCAACTCTCTGGAAAGTTATACTCTAATGGCCAGAGAGATCCTTTCAAAATGTAAGTCAAATCATTCCACTCTGGGGCCTGAAATCCTGCAATGGTACCTCCTTTCACTCAGAGAAAGCTCATGTACTAACCCCTGGAGGGGGGCATGGCAACCCACCCCAGTATTCTTGCCTGGAGAATCCCCATGGACAGAGCAGTCTGACGGGCTACAGTCTGTGGGCTCACAAGGAGTCAGACATGACTGAGCAACTAAGCACATTTCCTAATAACCATCTACAAAACTGGATGAGGTTTGCCTCCCACCTCAGTCGACTCTCTGACCTCGCTTCCCAGCACATTTCTCATTCAGTCAATTGAATGCTGGCTGCCCAGCTACTCCTTAAACAAGCCAGGACATTCCTACACCAAGACCTTTGCTTTCTGTTCCCACTGATGGGATGATGATGCTCTTCCTTCAGTGCTGCACTGCACTTAGTCGCTCAGTCGTGTCCAACTCTTTGCAACCCCATGGACTGTAGCCCACCAGGCTCCTCTGTCCAGGGGATTCTCCAGGCAAAAATACTGGAGTGGGTTAGCATGCCCTTCTCCAGGGAATCTTCCTAACTCAGGTCTCCTGCAGTGCAGGCGGATTCTTTACCATCTGAGCCATAACTCACACCCTCACCTCCTTCAAGTCTCTGTTGAACGTCGTCATCTCAATATAGCCCATCCAGACCACTTTATTTAATGTTGCAACCACCACTTCCCAACCCACATGCATTTCCTTCACCAATCTCCCTTATCATGCTTGACATTTTTTTTTCTGTAGTACATACCGTCTTCTGATACACTGTATATTCTACTAACCTACTACATGTGTTATTTTTGTCAGGATCTCTCCCACTAGAATGCATGCTCCCTCACAACATGATCCTTAAAACAATTCTTAGTTTTATTAACTGATGTCATCAAGTGCCTAGAACAGCACCTGACACATAATGGATACTCACTGGATATTGCTGAATGAATGACACAGAGTTGGAGGCAGTTGGTATATATATATATATTAAACTCGGAGGCAGTCAGGTATATATATATATTAAATATATATATCATGTATTTATATATACATGTGTATATACACACATATATTCACATACACACACACACACACATATATATGTGTATATATATATATATAAATTTGTGGTTCAAGATGATGTTTTAACCCTCAGCTTAGTTGTTAAAAATTCACACTACCTCCCACATTTCCTTTTTGGTGGCATATAATGCAACAATTTATTTTCATTTATTCACACATTGCCTTGTTCTAAAAAAGATCTTAAGGAACTATATAAGGATATATAACACACAAGAGAATGAGTTAGAAGTGGTGAGAAAAGATAAAAACAAAGTCAAATGTGAATAAGGCCAATAAAAAAGTACATATACTTTAGATACCTATACCCTTGCTAAAACACACATAAATGTGATTTTACATCTTCTAATAGCTGAAGCAGTCACAGTCTCCAGCAGATACTAACAAAGAGAAAGGAAGCAAGTTCTTGAGAGAAGTACACCTATTTTCAATGCTGACTCAAATAAATTTCCTTCAAAGTCCTTATAAAGAAGACACTGTATAAATGATACTCAACTTACAACATTATTAATGGCAACTTCATTCTTCTAATTGCTCAAACCAAAAATTTAGAACCATCCTTGACTTCTTTGTCTCTGCTAAGCAACATTCAGAAATGTCTGTTGTTTCTGTCTTCAAAATACATCCAGGATCCAGCTACCTCTCCCCACCTTTACCCACTACTCCCCTGGTCTAGACCACCACCAGGTTGCCTGTATTAATGCAATGGCCTCGTATCATGTCTCTCTGTTTTAGTCCTTGACCATTATAGTTTATTCTCAACATTGGAGCCAGAATGGTCCTCTAAAAAGCTGAATCAGATCACGTAACCCTTTGCTCAAAACACTCCAATGGATGACAAAATCATAGTAAAAATGTTAAGTCCTTAGAGTTATCTATAGGATCCTTTATGATTGAGTCCAATACCTCTGACCTCATCTCCTATCACTCTCCTGCTCGATCAGCACTCCAGGAGCACTGGCTTCCTCCCTGCTTTATTATCTCTGTGTTTGCTGGTCTTTCTGCCTGGTATGTTCCCCACTGAGTATCTATGCCAATTTACCTCCTCACCTGTTTCACACCCTTATTCAAACGTAATCTTCATATTATGGCAGATGTGATGGTTACCTACATAGTACACATTAAGAAACCTACAAATTGTGGGAATAACAGAGTTTAGCGAGTTGGCTGCATATAATACTAAAATATGAGTCAGTTTCATTTCTAATATATTAGCAGCAAAAAGCCTAAAAAACAAAATTAAATAAAATATTTCACTTATGATGATCTCAGAGAATGTCAGACACCCAGGAATAAACTTAATAAAACATGTAACAATTCTATGGAGAAGATGATAAAAGATATATTAAAAACTGTTTATAAAATAACCTAAATTCATGAAAAAATATATCATGTTCATGGCTACAAACAACTGATATTGTAAATGAATGAATTCTCTCTAGATTACAGATTCAGTGTAACTCGAATTTTATAAACCTAAGAAGAAATTTCATACAATTTAATGAAATGATTCTAAAAGTTACAAGAAAAGGTAAACAGCCTAGATTAGTCAAAGCACCGTTAAGAAAGAGAGCAGGGAGAGAAGACTTACCTCACCAGATATTAGACCTATCTTGCAGCTACAATAATTAAAGACAGTGCAACTGGTAAAAGGATGGATGAGTAACTGAAAACAGAAGAGTCAAGAAACAAACTCATATGCAAATGATAAGTGTGCTACAAGACAGATATGGCATGTCAGATTAGTCTTGCTTTAGCAGGTGGTTTCACAGATGTTTATTATACTGTTTATAATAGCAAACTAGATAAATGAGTTAAAGTGGCATATGCATGGACCATTAATCAGAGTCTGCATAAGCTAAACACAGTTTTTAGTACAATTCTATGCACCTGAAGTACAGTAAGAAAATAATAACCAAAAGAAAGTAACTAGTTTAATATCAGACACTATTATTTAAACTAAAACCCACCAAACAGTACACTTTAGAAGGGTGAATTTTATGTTATATGAATAGTATCTCAATAGAGATGCTATTTTTATAAGAAAAAATTGAATATTCTATAGCCATTAAATCAGAACTTGTATGTCTATGCTAATAGCAAGAGAGAGGGAAAACACAGAATAGCTATATAGAGAGCTCCATCAATAAATGCAAAGAATTAGATTTACTCAAATTCTAAGGAATTAAAAAAGAGGAAACATTATTTAAGTCATTTTATGAAGCTAGCAAAACTAGTGCCAAAACCAAATAAGTATAGTAAAATAAGAAATAGAAATTATAGGCCAATTTCACATATAAATTTTGACACAAAAATCCTCCAGAATATCAGCCAAAAAATTTCAACACACATGAGAGAATGCATCATAACCAAATTGAGTTTATCTCATGAATTACAAGGACAGATAAAGAAAATTTCTCTAGTATAACAGATAAAATGAGGAAAACTATATGATCTTTACAGTGGTCACCAAAATTTTTTTTTCAATAAATTCAATTCCATTTCAAGACAAAAGAAATACCAAACACATAAACAAGGAACAGAACTTCTTATAATAGAATATAAACCCCAAACCATGATACAGTTCACATATAATGATGAAATATTATAAGCATTCTCTTTAAAATCAGAAATAGAGAAGGATATCCAATATTGTTGCTTCTATTTAACAGAGTACTGCAGGTTCTGTTAGCACAATATTAAAAGAAAAACAAAAAATATATAAGAATTGGGAAATAAGATTTCTTTGGGAAAGAACTGGGAAATAATAATTTGGTATTATTTGAAGATTATTCGATAAAAAGAAAACCTAGCTCCCTTCACCCAGCAAGAACACCACAAGAAGCTATCTGTGAATCAGAAAGTAGGTTTTCACCAGATACTGAATCTGCTGTAACCCTGATCATGAGCTTCCCAGCCTCCAGAACTGTGAAAAAGAAATTTCTGTTGTTTATAAGCCACCCATTCTATGGTACTTGTAGCAGCTCAAACAGACAGACGGTATTCAGTATTTAAATTGAAGGAAAATCTAACAGAATTTACAGATGAGTAAATAAAACTAACATATATGATCAATTATCCCCATGGACAGAGGAGCCTGGCAGCTTACAGTCCATGGGATAGTAAAGAATCAGACAGGACTGAGTGACTAAGCACACAGGTTCCTGTATCTATAGAACAAGTTAAAAAATGTAATTTTATAAAATATAGCTTTTATATACTATAGGACTATAACAGGAAAAATACACAGTATCCAGGAAAAAGTTCCACAAGAAGTTTGTAAGATTTTTCTATAGAAAATTATAAAGTACCATCAGAAAACATTAAAACATGTTTAAATAGATGGGAAAAGATGTCATATCCACTGACAGAAAAACTTAACTTTAAACCAATTTCATATGGTACCAAATTAACCTATAGTTTTAACATAATTCTAATCAAAACCAAAATGGTATTTTCCTATGGAACTTAACATGACTCTAAACTTAATATGGAAGCACAAGTGTAAAAAGAACCAAACCATTACTCAAGGAAATAGACAGATTCAATGCAATCCCAATCAAATTACCAATGACATTTTTTACAAAACTAGACCAAAAAATTATAAAATTTGCATGTAAACACAAAACCCTCCCAATAGCTCAACCAATCTTGAGAAAGAACAATGAAGCTAGAGGGATCAGGCGTCCTGACTTCAGAGTACACTACAAAGTTACAGTAATCAAAACAGTGTGTTACTGGCACAAAAATAGACATATAAATCAATGGAACAGAACAGAAAGCCCAGAAATAAGCCACGCACTTATGGCCAATTAATTTACAATGGAGGCAAGAATATAAA